TCTGCGTCTCTTTGTCTTCGGTTTATGCATAAATTTCTATTCCTAATAATGTTGAGTAACCACGTAAATTTCACCCATCCGTTTAAGAATATAATTATTTTATTATAATTATATTATAATTATATAATTTTATGAGAGATCTTTATGAGAGGTTCAGAGGTATTTCAAGAGATTAAATGCTGATGTATGAATGAAGATTAAACAAATTGATTGGAAATGATTATGAGAGAGAGATATCAATTTTATTTTGTAAATTATTCTCGAGTTTCATCCTTTTTTATATTCTAAAAATACTACGTAGAGAAGGTTAATTAAAGCAAGGCAGATCGCACAGCGTTAATATCCGAGAGATAATTCCGCTAAATAAATTGTACGCGAATTAGCCAATATATGAGGGAAGAGAAAGAGAGGGAAAAAATTATATAAAAATGCAACGTGTTTTAAAACATCGATATCTCTCGCTTTTAAATTCTGGATCAATATCGACGAGACGAGAAGCGAGAAAAAAAGTCAGATTCGTCGAAACATGCGTCCCGAAAGGTGCATCCATCCAGGTGATCCAAATTCGCGGCGACTTCGCGGAGGTTCTTGAAATCCGGCCCTCGGGCTCGGATCGATCGGGAATCGATTTTGGCAGAAAAGTGAATCCAACAAGCGTGGCGACCGCCCGTGAGGCAGAGCGCGATATCTCGATCCCACGAACGAGAGAATATGTACACATACACAGGCTCTCGGGGTCCCCTCCCCCGCGAACAGCCTCAGCTTCACGGCTGGCAACGGTATCTACCATCTTGGCGCGTACAGGCGGAGGAAAATTTGGTAATAAAATTTGTTCCCGCCAGTTAGACCGGGCCCGTTGCCAAAAGCGGCTATTAATTCCTTATCTCGCATCTTCGATCTCCTGCCAAGTCTGCCGATCCGCCTCCGGTTCCGCCGTAGATGGATGCTTTTCAATATCCGGCGGGATTGCGCTCGCCGCTTACCGAAGACTGGCAAAAAAAAAAGAGAGAAAAAAATAAAAAAAAAGGACTGGACACACATATACACCCCGCGATCGATCGATGCCCGAGAATTAATCACGCTTGTCCGACGTAATAAACGTCAAAGTCGTCAAACTCGGGGGTGCTCGATTAATATTCAGAAATCTCTCGAGAGAGAGAGAGATTACGAGGGGTTTTTCGCGGATCCGCTGAAATTTTCGCATCCGGTTTGACGAAACGCTCCCCTCGGTCGATTTTTCGCGGGCTCGTCGTCGCATGTCGTTTCGTGGAAATGAGAGAGCCAGCGTCCCTCGTACACGGCGAAAGCCGAGAAACGACTTAATACGTAGGTAGAGAGCCGTATTCCCGTACACGACGAGCTACGTACTCGCTCCGCGCACCGATTTATGTACATGCATAATGGCAATCGCCGGGCCAAGTCCCCGGTATTTTATGGGACGAGCTGGCCGCGAGCCCGGCTGAGTCGAGCTGTCTCAATTCGAGGGCTTCCACGTCGCAGAAAACAATTTCAAAATTACACTCGCTCCCTTAGACGCAGACAGGCTTCTCCAGAATATATAAATCAAGTTTCATTCATCGAAATCGCCTCGCCCACCTGGATATTTCTAATAAAGAATTGCCCTCTCGAGCTTGCGGATATTAGGGGGCTTTGTTAATTTTTCGCAATTTTGAATATTGTAAAAAAATGCAATTAAAATAACTTTCAAATTGTACTTTGTTAAATCACGTACGATCCTATCTTGGATCTTAAATTCCCAGCGAGTATAAAAGTCGCGCTATCTTGGACGCTTCTTCCTTTTGGTCCAGGTTAAAATATGGCGCACAGGCGCGAAATATTAATTTACGGGAAATTATCGAGCTGGTTTATCGTGAATGCTCGAATACGTAGACACGGGAAGAGAAGCGAGGAGAGGAGCTAGCGGAGGAAGCTAGAGAGAGGAGGCGAGAGGAGAGACCAGACTCAGATATTTAATCTGGTGCGGAGTGGGTAAGGCTCATCTAGACAAGGAGAGAGGGCCTTGTCGGACCAAGATCGAGCGGGAAGATAGCCGATACCTCTGGGAAATATCGGTATCGATAGGTGATCGGAGCTAAATGGTTTATGCGAGCGATCAACCTCCGACCCCTTGTAATAACCGGCGAGGAATCTGCCGCCTGATCTATTGGATCGAGAACTCGATCGAGAGTTACACCTCGGCGAAAGGAGCTATACACAATTGTACAGTCTCGCGAGTCCTTTCCGCGAATTCAGAGCGAGATAAATAGAGATCTCTCTATTTTCGACTTGATCGCGACGCGAAATCTCGACGCGGAAAGTTGCCGCGATTTGAATAAAGATCGATTATGATTCATGTTCAAAATGATTTTTAATTTCTCTTTGATTATTTCGATAAGTTTCGATAACGATTGAAATTTATCCAGAGAATTTGAAAAGATTAAATCTAGCATTCTTTCCCTTTTTCTTTCTCTTTTTTTCTTCTTATTAATAAATTCATAATATGTGTTGTATATATTAGAACTTTAATAAATATTTATTTTATACAGTCGATCTGCTCACTTTAATTAAATCTTTCTGTGAAAAATATTTTTTTTTTTATAAAAGTATATATTAGATAAAATTTGAAAATAATTAAATTTAATTTCTTTTAAATAATTTAAATTTTATATTTATTTATTCCAATTTAATTCAATTTGAAAAAACAATCTATTACGGTCAATCATAAAATTTCTCTCCTTTTATGCTTCATGTTGTATTCATTTACTATTAAATTAAAGCAGCTATTAAAGTATTTTAATCCCTTGAATAAGGGAATGATCCCTCGTAAAGATTAAATTGTAAAACATTATCAACGAAGAGAATCTCAATAATTTTCGCGTTTCCAAGAATTGCGAGGACTTGAAAAAGAAGACCAGAATTTAGCAATTCGTCAAAAAAATCTGATAAAGTAATAATTCCCGACAAGGCACCAAATTACAATTAAAGTCAATAAATAAGATATTCCGCTATGCTTTTTATCTTTCCCTCGCGTTATGATTAGTCGGGCAGCGGTACACATTACATCCGATCGACAATAAAAGCGTCCTCCTAATGAAGGAGAACGGCCGATCGGGGATCTCGTAAATCGTCGGATTATTAATACCTGGCATTCTCCGTGCGCGTGAATCCGGCAGGTGGCTGGTCGACCCTCTAATCGCGATCCCAAGATAATTTACACCCATGTCCTGCCCGGGCATCATCGTACGGGAGCGTTAACGAATCATTTTCGCGTGATTTCCGAGCGCCAAGTGATGCCTGCTTCTCCAATCTCAATGTCTCAATTTATATTGCGATTGCTTTTATCAACACGACTTGTTTCGATTAGCAAATAATAGTTATTTAGGTATTTAATCGTCATCATACGTCAGATCTTCAGAAATTCTACAATTTTACGTGACATTCTTATTATTAAAAATGTAAAAGTTTATTTCCCTTTGCGAATCAGTCTCGTGATTTACTTCATTTTTCTTCCCTTCGAATACGTTATCATACTTATGATTAGAAGGCTGCCTCGAACTTGGCTGGACCAAAGGGGGATTTTTCGCGGGCGACGACAATGGATGAAGGAAGGAAGAAGAGGCCTCTGCGCCGCGCGAGAGGATCGGGCCGGTAATAGAGTCCTCAGGCGAGAGAGCAGAAAGCATCAGCCGTTTAAGCACGGGCTCCTCGTGGACGGCTAATAATATTAACCGCGCCACGTCGCGATCGCACAATGGCCCTTTGTGGAGGCGCGTAAATGCTCGTAACATAAATCGCGAGCGGCGACGCGCGCTTTATTGTCTTCGCGCGACGCGAATTACCTCTCCCTCTCCTCCCCTCGATCCTCCAGCCCTCCCCTTCGCCCCATCTTACGACGTTCGCCAATTTCTACTCGCCAAAGTGTCAATGCCATTTCGAAGCTTTCTCTTCTAGCGAGTTTCTGCGGGTCTATCGTATTTTATCCTTTAAGCTCGTTTTCAACGATAATGATTTAGACGATAATATTCTACAATAAAGATTGAATTTTTAATTCGCGAGAGTTTTCTTTAAAGAAAATCAGAAATAAAAGTACGTTTATAAAAAATATCTCCTGTCAATTATCTTTTAAATATAAATGCATTTATCTTGCAATTCGCGATAAAGCTCGAAACGGAATTTTATTCATAATTTTAGCAAATAATAAGTAAAATATTAAAAAATAAAATAATGTAAAATGTGAGAAGTCGAATATACGCATCTAGTATAAAATACATATCAAATACGTGTAAATCTGCCTAATGAATGGTTTTAATGGCGAGGTAAATTTTACCATCGTATATATTTTTCAGTTACATTTGCGTAATCAGGGTCTCTCTGCGCGACTCGAAATTCGAGTAGAGTGAAAAATTTTGGAACAAAAAAAAATGGGAGGTTGGCTCGAAGGGATTTCGAAATCGGCGGCCACGATATTTTTAACGGCGCCGAATACAAATAGCGTCGCGCAAACTGCAATATAACAGCGGAAGCGATGTTACATCGCGTCTATGATTTATGCGCGGCTCATTGTTCGCCACGCGACGCCGACAGCGGCCACATTGTCGCATACATCGTTATTATTCTCTCCCTTCCCTCCGCATTGCGATGTTTAAACGAACAAAAGCTCTCGACTTTCAGCGAGAGCGTCCCGTACTCGAGCATAAATCGCGCTCTCGCGCGGATTTACATAAACATCGCGTCCGCGTTGCAAACGCGCCGGGTCGTACTCTCTTTTAAGTAAATTCGGAATTGATCTACGGTCGTGGAAAATAAATTGCAGGATTTTTTTCCCCGACGCCTTTAAAGATATGCCTCTGCACTTGATTAATTATTAATTAATTAAACTTGATTAATGATTAATTAATTAAACGATACAGGCGACAAATTGTTGTCTTTCGCGAGAGAAAATAATTTTTACGGACATCATTTTTTTTTCTTAATTTAATTTAATTTAATTTTCCACTTACTTGGCTCTTCTGAATCCGTGATCCTGTCGTGTCGCTTCATTCCAGACGCACGGTAGAGAGGGAAAGAGGAACGGGACGACATGGCGGAGGGACGCAATGACTGAGAACGCCGGCGCGTGGTCTGGAGAATAAATTAATATATTTTTAATGGATATATGATAGGTACTGGTTTTTCGCATATCCCGGATCATCGTATGGCAACTCTTATCACCCCTAACTATAAACTGAGCTCGTGGGACGACTTTGTCTTACGGGGGTCGCGGGAGAAAAATCTTTGTACCGCGCTCGCCTCTAGGATCTTTTAAATCTATATACAACGCCAGGCAAATTTTTTACCGCAGAGGTCCTCAAACTTTTATTCCTGCGTGTATCCCCAATTGATTTATATATCGCAGATTTTTTTTATTACTTCAAATAAATTATTCACTGGAAAAATTGATCTAGTCTCTATTTCCGCTATAGAGAAATTAAAATCGCACGTACCGATATAATCACAAGTGTAAAGAGTTGAGAACCCCTGTCCTATTGCTTTAAATAATATCCGTGATCGACGAACACTGGGGTATCGACTACTCAAATTAAATAAAACAGACACCTCCCGCTATTTACATTAAATACACTCACGCTCTATTTCCTTTCTCTCTCACTTTCTCTTTCTCACCTCAAAGACAGACAACCCGCTTAGCCGACGGGTTCGTCCGCGTTTATTGCACATTTTTCATTCTTTTTTTTTTTAAAAGGAAACAATGGACGAAATCAAACGCACTCGATCTACGACGGTCACGCATGCATTCGATATGTCAAAGTGATATAAGTCTTGCCGATCCACGCCGATGAGATGCGATCTTTAGATCCTCGAATCCCTCTAGTCGAAGAAATCGCGACTTGATTTTCGCTCTCTAAGAAAATTCGCGTTCCATGGATTTTTCTCCTTCTCTCCAGCTTCCTCCGGACTCGGGATGTCGAGAATCTAGACGCGCTCACGACGAGGAACGTGAGAATGTCTTACACGCGAGAATATGCACGATGAAAGAATCGATTTCGTTCGAAGCGAAAACATCCTGATAAAAACGTGAACGGGAATATTGCTTGCCCGCTTCAACCCTTATCACGATTGGTCCTCTCGCGCGACGATCTCGACGGAACAAGAACAAGTCTCGCTTTTCGCCAGGCCCTTCCTCCAGGCCCGCGCAGCGATACATCCGATGAAACGCACTTCATCGTCACCGATAATTCCCGCACAGAGGTGGAAAACCCGGCTAATTACACCGTGCCACCCTCTCATCGACTTTTTAATCCGGCTCACCTCTCGGCGTCTCACCCACGCCTGTTCACTACGTCGTGGAGGGCGACGTGCAGGCCGACGAGACGGGCGATGTCGGCGACGTCGGCGTCATCGGCCTGCGCTCCGACGCCGCGCTCGAAGTCCGGTTGTTGTTCCCCAACAGGCTGTCGATGGAGAACGGATTCAGCCTCTTTCTCTCCTCCCTGCCCTTCACCGAGAGATCAATGCTGCCGCTCTGGACCTCCTCCTCGCTGGCGGCCTGCCTGATGAGATTATTCCTGGGGCCGGTGCCGACCGACTGCTGACGGCCCGTCCCGACGACACCCACCAGCTCGCGTCGTCGCTCGAGCAGGCTCAGGCCCCAGTGATGGATACCGGGTTGGTGGTTCAAGTGCTCCATCGGCGGGTTCGGCGGGTTCTTCCGCGGCTCGCCGGACTCGTTCGCGCTGCTGTTGAGCGTCGGGTAGCACTCGCCGTCCACGGAACCGTCGGCCGCCGAGTCGACCCGCTCGCTTCCGCTCTCGCTGCAGGAATCCAGTCCGCCGACGACGTCGATCTCCTCGTTGGCGTCGTTGCCGGACGCGGAGATGCTGCTCTCGTTGTTCAGGCCCAGCTGACCGAACGAGCTGCCCAGGGGACCGCTCGCGGTGCCGCGACCCGATGCCGCCTCGCTACGGGATTCCCACTCGGCCCGCAGTGTCGACAGGTCCACTGTTATGCCCTGAAGTTAAGAATGGAAAGATTGATTAATATTGGAGCTGTGGGACTCCTGGCTGGTTTATTCTCCTAGCAAAACGTCATTCCACCTATCCATTAGTTTACGTCGACGCAGATATAAAAGTAACAATGCGGTCTCTAGCACTTTTAAAGTGTCTACACAATTATGCGTGTCTCTTTTTGTACAAGTTGTTAATAAGATTGTAAAAAATGTGCGAAATGAATATTTTTAATTGCCACTTTTAATTATCTAGCCATCATAAATATTCCTTTTTAAAGGAAAAATATGCGCGTAAGCGTTATGTAATTTTTAAATCGCCGAAGAGCGCGTTCTTGCAAATTCTTACTTTAGCAGCGAGCTTCCGCTGTTGCCTCTCGAGAGCCTTCAGCAACTTTTTCTGTCGCCTCTCGCGCTCCTTCCGTCTTAGTTCTTCCGGTGGAATAGGCTCGCCGCTGCAACTCTGGGGATGGGCATTATGCGCCGGCCTTCCGGGCCCCTTCTTCGTGTGCTCCTTCTTCCGCCATTTTGCCCTTCGATTTTGGAACCACACCTGGAACAGCGAGCCAGTCGTCCAGGATTGAAAGCGATGTTTTATTTAATACTTTGGCGTTAATAATCTGTGCATTAGAAGATGGAATGGAGCGGTTGATGATTGTTTACCCAAGAAGAGACTTTCGCTCGATTTTAACCTCAATTTAACTCATCCGTTTCGAAAGAAGGATGATTAACTTGATCACCGGTTAAGCGCTAATTGATGCTGATGAAACCACATCGGGCTTCCCCGGCAGAGCCTCGATTGTAACAGGTGCTCGTCCGTTACGTCCCGTAAATCTAAGGATCCCATCCGGATCTTCCTCTTGTACGACGCGAAATTTCCCCGCGAGCTACTTAAATCACGGCGCCGCCCTCGCCAGGCGCTATCAGAAGCGACACGAAGGGCGGATGCATTAAGTTTCGAAATTACAGGAAGACTCCTGTCTCAAGGAACGAAGGACCAACGACCCTCCCGGGTGTCCTGATTCATTGAGGACGACAACCCTTTGCTCGCGTGAACGCTCGTGGCATGAACGACGATTTAGGGCTAGCGTGAGCTACCCACGGCGCGACCGGGGGTAGGCGAGGGCGCACTCGAGGGGACGTGGGGAGGGTGGTTGGGGGTCGAAGAGGTGGCGAGAGGGAGAGATGAAGACATTAGTTGTACGGCATGGCCGGCGAGCGGCGCTGAGCTCACGCGAGCCGAAGATCAATAGATCCCCTCGGCTCCCCGAAACGCCTTCCTTGCGTCACGTAGCTTTACGACTTTCTTCGACTTTGGGGGACACTTTACGTATCCCACGAAACGAGCCCGGAACGCCAGTTCTCTCTCTCTCTCTCTCCCTCCCTCCCTCCCCCCTCCCCCCTCTCTCTTTATTATTCGCGATTAAACTTCCAAGGTGATCGTAATTAATTCGATTATTTCGACGATTCTATTAAAATCCGTCGCACGATTGCGTCATTTAAATCCCTAGCTTTTTGACTTTTAACCCGAAAGCTACTGCGATTAAGATTTAGATAGCCAACTGTTGTAGTAAAATTATCTTCAGCCCGACAATATTTAGATGCTCTTGAAAAATTGTCCTATTAAATTAGTTTTACAACAAGTATCCGAAAGTGCAGAAAATGACATGGAGAGAAATTTTATAGAAAGAAATAGAAAATGACGTTGAAAATTTCAAAGAAATCTCACGAATAAAAATGGTGGAAACTCGAATAAATTTCTCGGCAGAGAAAAGTCATTTCCGAACCTCGCCAGGCGTCCTAGAGCGGTTTCAGAGCTGGACACAGCTGTAAGACATTTACGTTAACGCGTGGGAAACACAAGTCGAGCATTAGCGTGGCTATTCGTCAGAAATTATCAGCGTCCGATAGCCACTTAACAAGCTGTTTTGCCAGATTACGTGCAAGAGGCCATCGTGTTCGAGTGAGCTAAATAATAGTTTTTTTCCCCTCGCTTTTCATCGCTTGTCGCATCGGGAAGGTATAGCTTTACATTGTACGAGCGAGCGATCAAAGGTTAACGTTCATCAAGCGCAGTATCTTTAGCGGCGGCACAAAAACTCGAAGAAGCGGCGTCGTTACAGATAACTGTAATCGTCACATAATACGACGCCTGTCGAGAAGATAATGCATTTTAATGTAATTACGTTTCCGTCAATTAATAAATCGTGTTTTCCCGCCGCGTCGATAAGAGCCGCGTCGGAAGAGAAAAGCGCTGAATCGATTAAACTTGTAATTAATCCTTCCTTCTAATCTTCTTGTTGTAATGGGGACTACTTAATTAGTCATACTTTATCCACGGGACGGAGGCAAAAAATAAGTATCGGACAAAAGACAGCCGCGTACAATCATATCGTTATCTCAAAGATACTCTCTCCGATCGTGTTTTGAGGGGTTAATGTCTAGTCATAAAAGTAAAAAGAAACTGATTTTTATGTTTTTACATTTCCTTATATCATATTGAAAATATTTCCTAAAAGTTTCACATTAATCGGATGCAAATTGACGGAGTTATAAGCGTATGCTTTAATGAATGAATAACTTTGTTCAAACACGGCTATAAAGCTTCAACTCTGATGTTTTCAGGGCTATCAAGCCAATATATGAAGATTTAAATAAACTAAAATTATATGCGTTCGGAATAGATGATTCTGTGTAATGAAAAAATTTGCATTTTATTTAAACATAAACTTGACACGAATCTTAAACGCGTTTTTCTCGAAATCACTTTTTTAAAGTCGATTAGCAAGATATTTCGAAAACCGTTACACCGATTTGCTTGAAATTTTGCAGGCTTCTTTTACATATAAAAACTTAGTAGATGAACGAAGGATTTTGTTTTTTAATAAATACTTTTTTTTTACTTAATAAAAAATGAGCAATTTTTAAGTCGAGAAAGAATATCTTAGTGTCAAATAGCTGCCATTTTGTCCCAAAACAATTTTTCGATTAATCCTTCGTTCATCTACTAGACAATTTCATACGTTAATTACAGTTTATCAAATTTTTGATATCGGATGAATCAGCTTCGAATAGCTCTGTTTACTCGAATAGCGCAGCGCTTTTTAAAAACAATATCCGAGAGAATAATGATACTAACTTTTACATTTTTTGATATTTTATTTAAAAAAATATATAATAACATCCTTAATATTTGTGCTTTTGACTAGGCATAACCCCTTAGACTGAATGACATCGATTTCTCACGGATCGAGATTTTGTTATAAGTCGAGTGTGAACAATAAAATTGCGTTACAATAAAATCGCGCAACAATTGCATCAACGGTTCTACGAGTTTGCCGTTTTATCGATATACCGATCGATATTCCCATTGTGGTTCGTTGTCAAATGCAAATCGCGCCTCGATAATGGCTTTTTTCAATCGCGATAAATCAAACACGCCGCGCGGCTCGCGATTTTGCTCGCGATCGCACACGAGGATCGTAAGTGCACGCGTTGAAATTAGCGTGCGTACTCGAGGTACACGTCGGGAAGATTTGAAAATTCCCGAGAAATTCTCGAGAACTCTCCTCGTCGAAGAAATCAAGAGGTCCATGTCGGAGATTTCGCCGAGCGCGGAGAGAGATGGTGGAGACGATAATCCGACCGAGTGGTGACACAATGTGACACGATGTCGCGCAGCCGGTGCGCAGTCCTTTCGAAGGGACTCTTCCCCACGACAGGGAATAGCTCTCAGATTAGATAACATCGATCACTGTGTACGATAACCCCCTATGAACGTATGCGCTTCTGCGTCTCTTCGAAACGTCGCAGCAACCGTCGGCGATCGATCGAATTTAAATTAAAAGAGCCATTCCTGCTTTCTGTTGCCTGCGAATTTTGCTCCCGTTATTTTTGTCGCGTTTTAGGATCTCAACCCCTCGAACCGCTCGCGCGCTTTAAATTTAGAATTCCACGTGACACGTTACGCGGATTTATCCGACGACAGTGTCCGTCAGAGATCGACGAGGCGATAGACATGAATTTCAAATGACTCCGGGATCGAATTTTCCGAGGGTCGGCAGAGATCGGGGAGAGGTAGCTTCCGGCCTTGGACCTTCGCCCCCTCGCTCCGTCTCCGGGGGGTAGTTAGTCCATCTGGTCCGTTACCTTCGAGATCCACTCGAGGGTGCCAAATCGACGCAGATTTATCCGCCCGGCGGTCGTCCATTTAAATAACGCCGGCGTCGATAGGGCGCTATTGTTTCTCTATTATGTTCCTACGAGGGTAGCCTCGCTATCCTTTTACTGGTAAATACTCTCGAAATTTGCCTCTTTGAAGAAGATTTTTAAAAAGAGCATCCAATTATTCTCTCATACAGAAAAAATATAATACAAGAAATATCGAAAACAAAAGCGCGAGCGAATAGATCCTTACAAAGATCATTCTCAAATGGATCCTTGTTAAATCCTTGTAAGGATCCGTCTAGACGATGTGGCCGCGTGTCATTCGAAGCGCTCGCGAAACTGGCATTAAATCTGTTTCACGTGGCCAGACCTCTTCCGGTGTTCGGACAGTTCACGCCCGCGTTCGACGAACGCCAATCCAGCCGAATCCTTCGACAGGACCGCGAAGGGTGGACTCTCAATTTCACGGCCGGTCGGACACACGGTCACCCTCGGATCCTTCAAGCGGATATTTATATTTATCCGCTTAGACACGCGCATTAGGCCCCGTAAATAGCGCATGCATCCGTTCCCTTCTTCTCCTTCCATTCCGATGTACCTCCCCCCGTTTCATATCTCATTCAACCCCCCCCCCTCCCGCCGCTCCACGGTCTTCTTTCTTATCTTCTATTGCATCGTGCTTCCCATTACATTCCGCAAACTCGACTTTAATTTTGCAATTCTACGGCAATCTTTTTCTTTTACGTTATTATTCAAAAGAAAATCACGCGATGTTCACGTAAGGGTATTATAAAGGAATTGCACGTCTCTCTTATAAATTTTTTGACCAATCTGCAATTTTGCTCGATAAGAATTGCATAGAGAATATCATTTTTTTTCTTTTGCGACTGAAATAAAATTTTATTAAAGCTTGATTTCTATGGAAATTTTGTTTCAAATTAAAATAAATTAATTAATCGCGTCGATCTAAAAATGAAGCCATTAACAAGCTTTGTCATTATGATATACGTTTTACGTTAACAAGCTTTGTCATTATGATATACGTTTCATATTTTTATTATTCTTGGCTCACAGGCTTATTAACGTCGTCTCTTTTATTTTCATTTCTATTATTTCTGGGAGATTCAGAGATAATATGTAGTGTCGGAGGCGTTCTAAGTATGTTTAATCATTGAAAAATGAATGACGATGGAGAAAAAAACTCACTGCCACGCGGCTCTCCTTTAATTCGAGTCTCACAGCCAGAGCTTCTCGCATAAAGACGTCGGGATAATGACTCGACAGGAAGGCCCGCTCCAATTCTTCCAACTGCCAACTGTTGAAGTTAGTTCTACTTCTTCGTCTCTTGTTCCCGCCCTCGTCCGACTCCCCGTCGCAAGCTGAAAAGAGAAAATATGAACTTTTGAAAAATATAAACCAGCAAAAAATGTAAAATGTATTCTGCATAAATTTAAACAAATTTATGTATCTATCATTTTTTCCCAAAATTGGCTTGAAGTCTTTCTCTTGAGAAATCGATCCTGTCTTTTATATTCGATCTAAGTATAAGAAAAGTATATCGATGCTAAAAATTTCAATATTTAAAAATCCATTCGGAAATTCTGGAAAAGAGCATTTCTTAAAAATTCAGAAAAATTCTTAGTTTCATAAATCAGTATTAAAACTCCCAGAAGCTTCAAAACAAAATTGACTTGAAATCTTTCTCTTGAGATCAATCTTGCCTTTTATATTCGATTTAAATATAAGAAAAGTATATCGATGCTTCAAAAATTTCAATATTTAAAAAACCATTCGGAAATTCTGGAAAAGAGCGTTTTTAAAAAATTCAGGAAACCTCCTAGTTTCATAAATCAGTATTAAAACTCCCGGAAGCTTCGAAACATTAGGATTCTAAAAAATATCCGCGAGATACGATGGAGATGCCGCGAGTGGAAATCCTGGAGTTAGCCTCAAGGATCAGAGGTCCCGGAGGATTCGCAATGTTCCGAGGATTTAACGGTCCAACACTCAAGAATAGTGGAGTCGAGGTATCTTAGATATAACGACGGCGGTATACTACACCCACAATTATTTAATCGGCGCGAGCCATTGTTGCTGGCGCGGCGGGATCGCTTAAATGCACGTCTCACAGCGAAAACAAATGCAGTAGTTACGTTAATCGTCGTACAATAATCCGTTGCTGTTATTGTTATTGCTATTATTGTTGTTGCTATTGCTGTTATTGCTGTTATTGCTGTTGCTGTTGTTGCTGCTGTTGCTGTTGCTGTTGTTGCTGCAACGGCCGACGCGCGCCTTGTCCGATAATGAAGTTAACCATGTAGTAAAGTGTGCGCGCCTCTTCAATCTTCTCCTCCGATCGAGCAGCTGCAACTCGGGGCGCGCGCTCGCTTTCGTGCTCGCCACTTTGCCGATGTAAATCGATGAATTCGCGCACTTGCAACGCACGCACACACTTTGCAGCAGCACACGAGCCGATCGTGCCGTTTATTCGTAGTTGTAGTGTCAAGCCGAGCGTGACGCCCGAGCAACGGGGAGATTATAGCGGCAATCATCATTGTTCATAGACATAATCTAACAACATAATTTCTAACGCGAGCTCGTAATTCCTACGTAATTCCAGGGAGGGCGTTTACAGAAGAAATTTCGCCAGGCTCGACTTCAACCATGAAATGCCCCGGCGTCGATTTTACAAATTAGTACTCCACTCTAAGATCTAGTCCGTAAATTATCTATATTAAATACAACTAAATTTCCATTCTCTCAACATTGTCAATTACGACAACATTCTTAATTTTCGATATTTATTCTGTAGATATTTGCCTTGAAAATGAGTCTATTATTATTCCCTCTTATTATTATTAATTATCGAGAAAAGAATTATGATCGCATATGCTGGTGGTGATCCTCCTTTTTCAAAGATTAAGTTTGACGACCGATCGATGGGCAACGAAAACGTCCAAGATCCATGGGCAACGAAACGTTATAATTTGCGGCAGCTTATCTCGCGTATGATCGATATCGATATCGAATTAAGTACTGTATACTTTCGACGGGAATTATAATGTTCGTGCGACACGAAAATGGAGGACGACGTCGAATGGCGAACGATCGCGAATTTATCTTAATTTCGCGCCGTTTGCGGCGCAAGGTAAACATTTCGCCGAGTGAGAATTGGATCTTAACACAAAGTGACTTTAAGCACGAAATCCATGATATAAAAAAAAATTACACCGCCAAATTGAAACGGCAATCAGCTGATCGGCCATCGGATATTAAAGCTATGAAAAATTGCGATACGATAAAATATTATCGGGGAGAAATGATTCACCCTTCCATCTTGTTATCCAGCAGGAAGGATGATTCGACGATGCCGACCAATATTGCGCAAGATCCCCTCGGTATTGATTAAAATGGCGGTCGATGTCCGAGGAACAACAATAACCGCGCGTGATTCGCGATGGGCGAGACGGGCCCGAGAATCGTCCTCCCCATCTTATCTAGGCACGCGCGAGATAAGACGCGTCCCGACGTATTGAATAAACATGGAATTTCAGTGATTTTACGAGGACGATCCGCGATATCTCCGACCGGAATCGGCGGTTCCGTGCTGCGCGTATGCATGCTAATGGCCGGAATTGAATAAAAGATCGGGAATTATGATTGACCGAGCAATACCGGAGCCCTCCTCCGGGTTTATCTCGATCGTCGCGAAACGAGACGACACGAGGAACGCCAGGATACGCTCTCGGGCAATGTCGCTTCATGGGGAAATCCTGACCTCACGATACCCTTGTCATTCCGATGTTCGCGTCAGTTATGTAAAATATATTTCACCCCGATTCTTCGTCATTAAACGTAAAGTCACGATGTAAAATCGAAAGGGATGTTTAAATTTGCCGTCACAAATGGAAAGTTTCGCTAAGAATTCATAATCATAATTTATAGAAAATAATTAAATTAATTTAATTTGATTTAAAGTCGATATAATTTAATTTAATTTAATTTCGATATTATTTAATTTAATTTAATTTCGATATCATTTCAGAGAATCATTTTCTTATATGAAAATCGCATCGTAGTGCGATACTACAAGTATCAAATAATATGCAGGATCTTTTTGAAAAATTAATCACTTTACACGAGGCGATTATTTCGATCAGCTTTCAAAGGAACAATTAAAGGGACAATTAAGATTTTTCGATGGGCAGGTAGAGACTGTTTGCGAATCGTTGTGGTGGCCAAGGGCAGTGAAAAATCACGAGGGTTGGGCATTAATCAGCGTAATTAGATGCTATTTATCTGGCCCTCGTCTCGCTCGCTCCGCGTCCCTCGCTCATTATTGATAATCTATAATCCGTAATAAGCGCGCTCTCTGGCGCAGTGGCAGGTTGAAGGATCGTCGCCAACGATAATACCTTTATCGTGTCAATGCCGGCCAATCACAGCGCGTTCACTTGCACCGAATCACATAATGGAATATAAGCGGCAGTAATTAATAACTTGGAGCGGCGGAGAATATGGCGGACATTTTTTTTCGATTACGCGCACACACAAAGTACACGCGCGCGTATCTCGACGTTATTTGGGATCAATGCAAATTACTGCGATATAGCAAAACATGCTGTTACACGCTCGTACGTGTCTGCGCGTCTGTGGGTTATTATAATTCGATCATTGTTTACGAAGGCAAAAAATAACACGCTTGTAATTTTTTAATTACGTAATTATATGAATCGCGCGCGCGCAGGGACATCGCGGGAGACGAGCTGAAGGGCGTCGTGGTCATATCATGAAATTAGTCGACTCATTATCATCATGTCAGGTTCATTATGCACCGAGTGCGTTACGTCGGGAGACAGGCGCTTCCCTCGTTAAACGGAAATGCGATTCCGCTGCGAGGCGAGCGGCCGCAACGAAAATAGATTAAGACGACGGATCAAACCGGACGTGAAAATTGTTTAACTCGTTCCCTCATAAATTATTTAGCGCGCCGCCCGCTATCATCCATCAACTTTGATAGCCGCGCCCGATAACAACTCCCGCGCCTTCTGGCCGGCCGCAGAGAGATACACGGTCGAGCGAAATCGCGTAAACATTTCGACCGCGAATCCGTCTACGTGTAATAAGTATTTTCGAAAAAGCAAACGCGCGAGTTTTATCCGCGCGATCTTGTTCACGAGGTCAACGAGACGCTTGCCGAGCGAAAAATCGAGCAACGCAAATTAATTTCTGGCCCGAGATCTAATTTATCATTTATAAATTAAAAAAATTTATAAATATATTTATTTATTATTTATAATTATTTATATATAATTTATTATTTATATTATATTTTGTATTATTATTATTATTTATATATAATTTATTATTTATAAATAAAATAAATTTATAAATAATACTAAATAAAGCATTTATATTTTGTAATAATTGTAGTGCAATGATATTAATAGATATCTAGATGTTGAAAATTATCTTTCGCATTTAGTTTTTTAATAATCTCAATTTTTTAAATTATTGTTCTTGCAACATTTTAATAGTTAATATTATATCTCATGATGGGAAAATTAGTTTCAATATGAATCTCTTTTAAAAATCATCTAAAATAAGTTAGAAACCAAAAAAAAGTTTGTCCTTCATTTAGCTTCTTGCAATTTTTTTTACGCAAATCTTTATTATTTAATTTATAAAAATGTTGCTTGATAGAATAATATTAAATACCTCTTTACGGATCGCTACACATGTTAAATAACGATAAAAGGATTTAATGCACCATGCTTTTCTCTATATTAACAGAAATGACTATCGTATTCGGAATTTAGATCAAATACCTGACCTTGCACGAGTCTTTTATCTGTCTCACAAATGATTCTTTTAGTTTCTTTTATCGTAATTCATAATACTCCTTGAAATTTATTTGTTTGATTTTGAAATCCATTACCAATGACATTGCACAAGTTGTATGATTAAGAAATTCAATCTCATTAATAAATCTAATTTTTTCAAATATATTTTGACACCTGATATTTTAAAAAAAAATTAATATTTCTTTTTTTAAAGAATGTAGCTTAACTTTATTATATTGACATCCTCACTTGCATTTCTGCGGAAAGCGTTAATAAATTAATGCCAATATCAACATGAAAATATCAGATCAAGATAATAAAGATCACGCGTGGTGCTTGTTAACTTAATGAAAAGGCGATTCCGCTATATAAGCATCCATTTATCCTAACATACTCGATGCTTTTCCTATGTGTACGATGTTCTCTCATTATCAAATACAATAAATACGATAACTACGAGTTCGGTCACGGATCACCTTTTCGCAAATGACATACACTTCCTCAAACACGATTCTTGTCCGCGATTCCAATGATAA